TTTAACGCGCACTTTGTCCTCACTCATGCGCGCCCTGAGAAACTTCCCAGGGGGTCACCCATCCCAAGACTACTCCCGTGCAAGCACGCTTAACTTTGGAGTTCTTGGATGATGAGCTCCCTTAAAAGGAGATGCATCTTGTTGGTATGAGTAGTACTATTAATCCGTTTAAATTAAATCTCAAGTATTACAGCTGTCCTATTGTTCCTCCCATTGGGGTCCGCTCCCTATACTGACCTCCTTGCCTAGTCACGAACGGGGTATGGTCCGAGGATGAGCACCGTTGGTACCCGGAAGTATGGTCTCTCCAGTTTCCTCCTTCCCCCAATCGTGAATAGGCCGAAGCCCTTTTTCTCTCCGTCCCCCCGGTATTCGAATCAAATGACTGCATGGTGTGGCTTGGTGAAGGAGATGAATATTCGGAGTCCCCGGTGTACGTAGAGTACGTAACCTTCATCATGTTGTTCAGCCATCTTGCGCATAGTCTCCGCCATTCTCCTCATCACTCAAGGATCTCTTCTAGCGGCTTCAGGAACTAGGTGGGTGAAATCCCCATCGTACCCCTGATTCTGGCTGTCGCTGGTGCGGCTCTCCGTTCTCCAGGTCGTGGAGGACCGGGTGTCTCCTCGCCCCCTGGTGGCATCGTGTGCTTGTTCAGACGTGATGATGACCATATTGGTGTGTGTAATTTGCTTAGATCAGTGTTTTGCTTTGAAACTTTTAGTTAGTTTCCGAGAGACGACGCCAATGTTGAGGTTTAGTCCCGAATGACCCGAAGGCCCAACATCAACCTTGGTTCTAGGGTATGGATGTTACAGTAAAGTGTATAAGAGGAAATATAAAATCTGATTTAACTATTCAAACAACTCAGCTTGTATTAACACAAGAATAATGATTACGGGTGATCACAGGCTAATACGAGAGCTAGAGTGCAATATAGCTTGTGAGTAAATAAATGCTAACCCCTACAATGATTTAAAAGAAACTAGTTATACTAAATGGAAATATGGGGTGCCCTAATACGATTGGTTGCTTTCCATGCCACTTGAGACCCCCATGATCTAGTATTAACTGCAGTCGGTCACATGCCGTTCGGGTGGTGCCGAATGGGCCTTGCCTTTAAGCAGATCGTTCGGGCCCAATGATCTCTTCTGGACTATCCTTTTTATTTTGGGCCTTAAGAATGTGCCGAACTCCCATTCAGGATCTATTACCTCTGGGTTTTCCCTGGTGCCTGGGCTTTTAGGGATATTTTGGGCTGCCATATTGGGCAGGACCTCAATATCCTATCAGTTAGCTTCAATCCTTCACTTAGAATATTTACATTATGCATCACAAAGTTTAGAGGCTAAAATTTCAATAATAAACAATCAAATTCATAATAATTGTTAAGGTTTATCCCAAGGCCCAACACGTTCCCTTGGATTTCGAGTGGATGTTTTGGTGAGTTAGGTTACTAATCAAGCAAAGATAGGTCAGAATATCCTTAGTAAGTGGGCCGTATCTTATTAATTGATAATAAGGGTCCGTATACAACACACTTCACTACAAAGCCCGAGGTCGTTCGTCTACTGCTATGCTATGAGCTAATACAATTGCTATTTGCTAAGAGTGCTAAGTTGTCAACCCCTTACAATGAAATAAATGCTACTATTTATACTAACAAGAGGTAGGTAGTGTAGCTAACGTGAAGGATTATGGACGGCTAGTTCTCAACCACCAAATCTACTGCATTAAATGCGGTTCCCGTCAGTATCTTGATTTCCGGCCATAACCACGGTCGAGCGTCCTGATGGGCCGGGTTGGGGATCCTTGATAGGCCAAGGATATGCTTTCGTTCGTATTCCCTAGGGTGAAGACGAACGTCTTCCATACAGCCTACCTGGGTCCTGTGGTATACAAGGGCGTGGATCCTCAAGGCGTGTGCCACTCTCTTGGCTGAGGGCCCTAGGATGTCACCTGGCTTCCCTTGAACAAAGGGTCCCTGAAGACGAGTGTCTGCCGTTATGGGCCCTGATGGCCCTAATGTCTAGTGGGTAATGGACCGATTGCTATTGGGCCTATTAACACAACAATAATCAATAAAAATCACTTTATCATGATTTAAATTGATAAATCAGAAAAACAGAATCTTATCAAAACTACTTAACAAAGGAGCAAAAAGTTTTGAATTTAAACAAAAAATTCATTGAGTCATTTCAACATATGTAATGGGCATGGATGAAATAGAGTAATTGAATTAAATAGTTTATGATAGATAGATAATATACATAAAAAAATCATGAAAACAAATAAATCACTAAAAATGAAACTGATTATTACCTCAATAATATCTAATATTCATCAAGCATACAAACATAATCACAAAAAGAGGAGAAAGAGCATACACAAAATTTGTGGTTATAACAAAAGAGTTCATTGAAACATTTCAACAAACACTTAATAGACATAAAAGTGAATTATAACAGTTGAATAAAAATTTAAATTATAATAAATCCATACTGATATAAGAATGTAATAAGCATTCATCAACATCACCGCAACATATATTGTATACATAAAATAGAAAAGGGAAATAATATAACCCTAAATGCACAAAATTCTAGAACAGATTATTACCTCAAGGTCTTGAGAGAAAAACGTGGGTCAAAAAAAGGAAAGGGAAATGATAGAGGAACTGGACAACAAAAATTTCTCTAAAATATGGAATTGGAGGAGGGGAGTTGAAGAAGAATGAAAATACGAAAGAAAGGGAGAAGAAGATGGGTTGAGGAGCGTAAGAATGAGTATAGAAAAAAATTGGGTACAAGAAAAACATTATACAGAGAGATCTGCGGAGAAGATGAGGAAAGGCGTGAGGTTTGAAATGATGAAGAAGGTTATCTCTTAGTCAAGACTAACATAGAAATGATAAAGAAACTAAAAGGAAAAAAGAAGATGAAGTAGTTAGGTTTGCGAAGAAGAGGAGGAATGGTGTACGAAAGGAAAGAAAGGGAGAAAGGAGTGGGGTGGGAAGGGGTAAAAATTAGCGTTCTTTTATATCGTGTACATGGGCATGTAAAACGCCGTGAAGACGAAGCATTTTTCTTCTTCACTTTACCCCTAACATCATATATGTGATGTTCATGCATGCACTAAGTTTAGTGCACCCTCTCCCTTTGATGTGACAATCTTGGTGCGACATGCATATGTATTAATCCAATATTATGTGCTTAGATCAAACATTTGATATAGACTATCATTTAGTGGCTTGACTTTCATTTTAAAGAATTATTTCTTAACGTATACGGAGTATCATTTACTGACATACTCCCCACATCTCGAAAAGGTTTACCAAATTGATTTTTTTTGTCAATGACAATCAACTTTGACCAATGATATATTTTAATACGAAATTATTTAAAATATGAAAATTATAACAAAATATTCATTATTGAAAATATTTTCATAAAAGTATAAAATTTATAAATTATATATAAATATAATAACTAAAATCATTGCTCAAAGTTTGTCATCATTGACCAAGAAAAGACAATTTGATAAGGATCAACCTTTTTATAAGGCGATATTAGATTTAGGACTGACCTTTTCCCAACAAGCTCCATAGTATCTCCAAACTTATTCCCCTTGACTCCTTGAGGGGGGAGTATTAACTATCAAGTATTGGTTGTATTGCCCGACTTTACTAGTGTTTTGGTCTAACTCTCCATCTAGTGGATTAGGGCTACCAAAATTCTTTTATCTTGGGCACATGTGTGTGGTAATGTATGTGTAATCACCCAGTTAATAATACTCCCTCCATCGCACAAATTTTTTTCATTTCTTATAGTTGTTTCAAAAAACTTCATCATTTCTATTTGCACAAATCTTAACAACAAAATTTTTATGGAATTTTATCAATTCAGCACCCGAAAGATAGATTAATTATCAATTCAGGACCCGAAAGATAAAACGTATCGGTATAGGACCTGAATGATGGAAAAGTATCAATTTAGGACCTAACGTTTCATAGGTTTTGATTTATTTAATTTTTTATTAATTCAATTACTAATTTTTGATATACTTTTCTTCACAAAAGTTTATTAGTTTAATAAAACTAAATAATATTTAAAATTTTAAAAAAAAAATATGACAACTTAGGTCCTAGATTAATAGTTTTCAATCATTCAGGACCTAAATTGATAGTTTTTCATCATTCGGGTCCTATATCGATGCATTTCATCTTTCAGGTCTCGGATTGATAATTCGTCTATCTTTCGGATCCTGAATTGATAAAATTCCAATTTTTATTTTGTTATTTCAAGTGCAAGTCAACATGGCCATGTTGGACAAAGAGAGTATGGGATCGTGAAAGCACTGGGGTCAAGGTGGTCATTGGGGTTAGGTAGTCACTGGATCAAGTAGTCATTGGGGCCAGGTGGTCACTGGGGTCGAGTAGTCACAGTGTCTGGTAATCATTGGGGGGTTATTAGGGCCGAGTAGTCACTTTTTTGTCCATGAGCTACTTTCTACTATTGTAGTAATATTGATGTCTTAACCTCTACGTTTTATACTTTTATGAAAATAGTTTGAATAAAGAACATTTTGGTATAATTTTCATATTCAAAATAACTTCCATTAGAAAAATATCATTGGTCAGAGTTAATTGTCATTGACTAAAAAAAGTCAATTGGTCGAACCTTTTTGGGAAAGAGAGAGTAGTATAGTAATAATAATAATAACATACTCCTCCGTATAATAATACTCCCTCCGTCCCGCTAACAATGGGACAAGGAGTGGCACACAAATCAATAAAAAGTGGTTTATGTGATTGATATTGAATTGATAAAGTAAGAATGATTTAGAACCACACAAACTTTGCCAAATTTGGTATGAGACAATTTTAGTGAGATGAACCGATAATGTAAAACGGGACAATCATAGCGGAACGGAGGTAGTAACAAATACACAAATACTACTTCCGTTTCTATTTGTTTGACATAGTTTGACTTGTAAAGAAATAAGGAAAAAATGTTACTGAGGGGTAAATTTTACTATAGAGTACACTGTTTTGGCACTGTTCGAACACTGTTTGACGCTGTTCGAACACTGTTTGACATTGTTTAGCATTGTTTTGCACTGTTTTGGTAAAGATTTGTTTACCAAATAAGGAAATAAGGAAGTGTAACATTCATTTTGAAACATCCAAAAAAAGAAAGTGTGTCAAACAAACAGAAACGGAGGGAGTAAAAGAGTTGCATATGATGAGACTGCGTTGCTATATCCCATTCTTTCTTACTGGCAAATGACAAGAAGCATTAGAAGTCGCAGTCAACGATCTTCCAGCACTCAAATGCCCTGATTCACTGGCCCTACCCAAAAAGACAGAGCTTCTGAATATGATGATTATGTTTGATATGTTAAAAGGTCATTTTGGTCTTTGTTACAATGACCCCCTCATCTCCTGAACAAATGTGTTCTCAAGGATTTTATAACACTATCTAGAACCACACCATTTTCGGCCAAATAGGCTTCGGCTTCTTCTTTGCTGTTTAAGACCTCCCCCTCAATGAAATACCCATTCCCTTCTTGTAAAATGACTCCACATTCACACCCCAACTCCAAGGCCTCAATCTCATTGCAAATGCCTTTCCCAAACTTTAGTCTCACTTCAGCATTTGACTTTGCCCCATGAGCCAGTTTGTTCTTAACCACTTGCACGGAGATCCCAAGACCAATAATCTGAGAAAGAAATGCACAGAACCCCTCTTATTAAGGCTCCATTGTTCCCAGGAAAATAATTTTCCATGGAAATTGGAAATAAGCTTACAAATATAAAACATAGACGTGTTTAAATAAAATGACATTCATGGTGCCAAACACAGAATATCAAAAAGCATTTTCCAGGAGATTAATTATTTTCCTGTAAATAAATGGAGTGTACAAAGAGAAAGATTGTTTGATGGAAGACAAAGCAGAATAGAAATACATACGTAATTGGCCTTTTTTTACATTCATACCCCTACATCTCAAAAGTTCCCACCTCATTCCCTTGACTATGTAACGTTATCCATCGTTAGGCCCTATCTTACACTGTTAAATAAGAAGAAACGAAAGAAGAACCAAAAATAGCAAACTTAGGGTATGTGAAAGACTAATAGATATTGGCCACTTTCAGTCTCTCACTTGCACCATGTTAACCATTATTAGTTCCTTAAGAAATCAGGGTCTAACTTTGTAGTCTTGTAGACAGGAAACGATGGTAGTCCTCTTGATGTTAAAGGGTAAAGGTTGGTAAAATACATGTAACCATAGACTTAAGGTTATCTCGTGAAACTTGTGACTTTTTTTGAACAAAATACATGTAATTTTAGCTTTGTTTGGTCAAAATGGACTGTTTTTTTGGGACAGATAGATGCCATTGGGTCAAAATGTCAAACAGATTGTAACCATTACCGTGTCATTAGCCTTTAGCAATTCTTTTCTAATCAATCTTAACCGCACAGCAGCATAAAATGGCAACGCATTTCCACCACATGTTACTTCCTCTGCACATCCAAAACTTTTAGATGGTTGCTTCACTTTTGATCTCACCTGGCTCATAGTGATTATTTAATTTGAAGATATTATTTAAAAAAACTAAAACAGAAAATCAAGGAAATATGTTGATCCAATAACAAAATTCCAACCTGGTTAATAAAAATAATAAGAGCACTTGAATTGCAGAGTGAATAATGGATTTTACGTAGTGCTCTTGTCATAATTTTGGATTGTACATCTTTGTAGGAGTCACCAATACAAGCGTCAATTTCAAGTTGGGGAATAAGAGCAGCGACCTATAGAGTACAAAGCCAATAGGTTGGAACTTCATAGAAGCAATTACAGTTTTCTTGATAAATGATAATGAAAGTGAAAATCAAAGAAAGACCTAAAATGGCTGAATTTCTGAATGTGTGGTTGAAATGGTTGATTCTACTGAACTTCTTAAATATATTATCTGAATTAAATACTCCCTCTGTCCCAATGAAAAGCTTCATTTTGGATTATGAAGTTCGGCTGAAGTCAAAATTAGTGCTCCCCGTATATCATTTAAATTAATATTAATAATAAGAAAAAAACACATTCACAAACTACAGGTTAAAGTTCTATTGAGCAGAAAAGCTGAATTAGAATATGATGTCAATTTGATACATTAATTTAGAAGTTGAACAATTCCTAGGTTGATCTTAGAGTAGTGAAAGGAACTTTTAAAGATGTACTCAGGAAGCAAGTAATATGTAGTATCTAAAAATGAACATTGAAAGGTCATTTTGATTACTTCCAGCTGATTAAGCCAGGTATTGCGAAATGTGTTTGTGTTTGGTAAAAAAAATATGTGTGATGGGGTTAATGAAGGGCCAAAAATAATAATAAAAAACACATCAAACAGGGTCTAAATAACACTCTTTCCCTAGTCAAATGAGCATTATAAATTTTCCTGTGATGTCTCAATCTTGTAAAGTATTAGCACTTCAGCCATAGAGTTTGTATTTAGGATGAACTTGGAAGATCCTTACACTATCAACAACAATAACATCTACGGATGCACTCTTTGTAAGAGTATCCACTACACTCAGCAGGTTTTCAGCAGAATCTGGCTGGGATATAAGGAGATTATTTGTATTTACACCTATTGCTTCTGCAAACAAGGGGTCCATTGCATTCTCAACATCAAGGTATGCACAATAACCTGTCAGAAATAGGTCCAAAATTTTGCAAATCAACCATAAATTGGTAAAAGATAACTACGAAAGAGGAAACCAGCACTCTTTTCCGAGTTCCAAGGGAAACAAAAGAGATTTCAGAAAGCACATTATTACACATGATTAAGGGCTTGTTTGGTTTGGGGACTTTGTTTTACTATTTATATCTCTTTGTTAGTCTTAAGACTATGAAATAACCATGTTCAGGAAAATCGTGGATTTCTATATCATTGTTATCCTCTTCCCTCCAATTGATAATCCCCCAGCCAAACAAGGGTTATAAGCATGTACATTATACAAATATGTACCTCCAAGTTTTTGAGCCTCTTTGATCACATGAAGTGCAAGAGTTGTCTTGCCTGATGCTTCTTGGCCATATATTTCAACAATTCGACCCTTCACCAAGCAAATTTCCTTCAAGATGAAGTCTACATTCTTGATTCGTAAAATGTGTGATTTGGAGCGCATATTGCATCATATCAATGGTGCTAAGAAAAGTGTCTGTTCTTGGTTCTTGACTTCGTGTAATCTCGTCATATGTTTAATAAATTAGAAAAGTAATCATTAAGTTGAGCAAGTGAGAACCATATGGCTTCATACACTTCAAAGAAACTCATATGTTCATTTAATAAAAAACATGTTTCCTCGTTAAGAGTGGACTCTGGAAAGTTAGTTTCTGTAATCTTGGCAAAAAATACCCAACATGTATGCAAACTTTGTCAAAGTTATCAGCAAAACTGCAAGCACATTTGCGCAGTCATTGTTGTATACACCCTGATTCACACAAATACGGGCTTACCCTAATACCCTCCACAGCAAAACATAGATATTTTGAAAGATATCCTGATACCCTGATTAACTGACGTAGAAAGAAACAATAAGAGCTTCAGTAGTTTCAATAAAATTCCATATTATTATCTCTGTCTGTGCACTGAAAGATAAATACAAATGCTTCAAAACAATGAGTAATATATACCTCCTAAATGCGTGATGCGAAAATTGGAGATGCACTTGATTAACATAATAGAAACTTTTCACCATTGTTTGGTTGGAAAGAAATAGGAAGGAGAGAAGTACGGGTAAAGAAGCAAGAGAGAAATATGGAATTTCTCTTGTTTGGTGGGGAAGGAAATACAGAGTAGAGAATTTAAAAGGATAGATCCTACCCTCATTTGGTTTCTTCTCCCTCATGGCTAGAAATAAAAGAGAAATGTATTTGTAACCATTTTTACTCATTCATGTAGTCTCTGTTTCCTTCCTGCCAAAGAACACACAATATCTAACATATTTGCCTACTGTTTCTCTTGTCCCCATCTCTTTCTTGCCCATTTCTATCTTCGCTATTTCTTCCATAAACCAAACAAAAGTTACATGTGAGGTGTGGCCAAAAAAGTGAAAAAAATTAAAGAATTTCTTCTCTGTTTTTCCCTGCCAAACAACAAACAATATCTACCAAATTTCTCTACTATTTCTCTTTTCTCTATCTCTTTCTCATCCATTTACCCCTTCTCTATTGCTTCCCTAAACCAAACAAAGGCTACATGTGAGGTCTCCCCAAAAAGTGAAAAAAATACAAAAGAAGATCTTATCTGTTTCTTTCCTGCAAATCAACACACAATATTTACTATATTTCTCTACTATTTATCTTTTCTCCATCGCTTTCTCACCCATTTCTCTCTTCTCTATTTCCTCCCTAAACCAAACAAAGGCTACAGGTGAAAAAGAAAAAAATAAAAAAGAATGCCAGCAAATACATGATATATATTGCAATCTGTTATGTGTGTGTGTAAAATCACCTTTGGTAATCCTCCAATGCCTAGAGCTTGATCAAGATTAATTGATCCGGTTGATATGACAGGTGCACAGCGAGCACCAAAGAAACGATGTAATGATAACATTGACTCTGTCCCATTGTCGCATGCAAGATGTGAGAGAGCTGAGCGTAACGCAGTATCTTTCTCTAAGACTTTAGCATTATTATTATTATTACTTATGATCTCATCATATTCAAACTCAGGATGGTTGTGGCCCACATCAAGTTCTATTTCTGAACCTTTCAACACAAAAACAAGAAAGAATTACAACTTGAGATACAAAAATATCAACGAATTCTATATCATGAAGAATGAATGAAACACCTCCACAGTATTTTTACCCTTGCAAACTGCAGTTTAAATTCAATGAGATGCAATTTATTTCAAAGAGGAATAATCATACACAACCAGAAATTGCCAACTTATTCCTAAGGGTCAGTTTGGATGGAGGGGTTTTGTAGGTCCAAGCACACGCACATGCACAAACAGATGTAAATATAATTGAGGTTTTACGAGTGCTGAAGGAATAACAAAATAGCTGGTCATATAACATTTAAATCACCGTTTATTCATTTTTTAGATAACATTTTGTGTATCGATATATAGAACATAGATGAATCCCTTCACCCCTCCAAAGGCTCTTCTCCTCCAAAATCATCACTCAAACTAACCCTAAGCTATTCATCTTTCATCATTCATCACTGAATATCTGGCCAAATTAAGTGACCAGACAAAAAGATAACTGCAACAAAATGTTAAGTATGTAACAAGCAAAAAGAATAGAACCTTCTCAGCCCTGAATACATATAAGAAATAACTAACCATACCAACAGTTTATCAAACTCAGGGAGTCAGATATACCTGCAGAAGACGAGTAAGAGTTGAACATCCTTCTCCGAGCAATTCCATTCTGACAGTTATAAACATACCAGAAAATTAAAGAAAACTCGGCAATATGAAATTGTTTCAGAAACCCGCCTAACCTATCTTCAAAAGAACAGGAAACAATGCAGCACCAGGGCAACATACATATATACACAAACATTTACATATACAGATAGGATAGGAAGACATTGGGAGAATACCCTTGATTTTGTGGATACCAATGACCTAAGATGAGGGTATGAGAAGGTATTCAGACGATAAAGGTTAAACGATTGAGCCGCCATGCCTTCCTTTATTCTTCTCCTTCACCAGAACTCTTCTCTACAAATATGCTCCTCCTGCACAGGACTTGTTAAATACGACAGAAACGACTTTGAGAATGTTTTTAATGGAATTTTGCAGTCATATTATTTGATTAGCTCTGGTTTGATGTTGTCATATGCTCCTCCTCCACAGGACTTGTCTGGTGTGGTCTGAACTGGTTTGAAAATGTCTGGTCTCTGCATATTTTATTTATAATTGTTTAAGTCTGGTTTGGTCTAATCTGATTTGAGAACAATCAGATTAAAAAACATGTTGAGTTAAAAAAATACTCGTCAATTGTTACACATGGGCAAATGTTAAAATAGACTCTCTTTTTTCCTCCAGGGGTGTCTGAGGGAGGAGGGCGGGAGGTCTGGAGTAATCAGGGATAAAACTCACTCCATTGAGTTTCAAAACCTTGTGTGTCTAGCGGGTTTCGAACTCGAGATCTCCCAATAGGAACGATAACCTCACAATCAGCTGGGCTGGAATGCTTGGTTTGTTAAAATAGACTTTTCAAATGACTTTAATAGGCATGGCAAAACCTCATAAAAGCACAAACCGTGAGGATCCGCTTGGCCGGAGACATTTGAGCCGGTCTACCCATCTTACCCTATGATGGGGCATCACTTGGGCCGAGCATAATCCTGCCTGGACCGGAAAATCGGACCGAACCGGATAGATACCGGTCTGATCTTCGGTCCAGGGGCTTAGAGCGACGGCATGACACCGAGATGGCAGGATGTGAAAGAGTCTGGCGGCGAGTATTGCTTGGCTTCAGTAAGACTTTGAACTATCTCTTATTACAACGGTTGTGGTTCCTAGTTCTGTCTAGGCTGGTGTTTGGAACTCGTAGCGAAAGCATATCGGCAGGGGTGGGAAATGTCTTTTTGGGGAAGACATCCATTTTAGCTAATCATAAATGGATACATACGTTGAATACACCACACTTGTGTTATAGTCACACATGAAAAACACAACATCACATAAGCGTTCAAGTATCAAACCCTAAGAGGTTTCCTTATTCATCATTCTTTCTTCTCATCTTGTTTCTTGAGTTTATGGGCCCGTAGCTCATGTCTTGGCCCCTCGCCGATGACCTCGGGTAGCTAGCCCGCAGCCCATCAGAAGTAACACCGGGACTATAATACTTGAGATTTAATTTAAACGGATTAATAGTACTACTCATACCAACAAGATGCATCTCCTTTTAAGGGAGCTCATCACCAAGAACTCCAAAGTTAAGCGTGCTTGCACGAGAGTAGTCTTGGGATGAGTGAGGACAAAGTGCGCGTTAAAGGCTCGTGGAGGTTTGTGAGTACAGTACTAGAGGTCTGGAGTAACTACCTCGGGTCCTACGACGTCGGGGTGTTACATGTGGTATCAGAGCAACCCTGCAACAGTGTGCTGATCCGTTGGGTATCGGGCGGGCACTTAGCGGGGCAAAGATTCTAGGATATGATTGAGATTGAATTGGCTTGTGGGCGCGATCCTAAGTGGGGGTGATTGTAATACTTGAGATTTAATTCAAACGGATTAATAGTACTACTCATACCAACAAGATGCATCTCCTTTTAAGGGAGCTCATCACCAAGAACTCCAAAGTTAAGCGTGCTCGCATGGGAGTAGTCTTGGAATGGGTGACCCCTGGGAAGTTTCTCAGGGCGCGCACGAGTGAGGACAAAGTGCGCGTTAAAGGCTCGTGGAGGTTTGTGGGGACAGTACTAAAGGTCTGGAGTAACTACCTCGGGTCCTGCGACGCCGGGGTGTTACAGGAACAAGCTCCCCGCGGAAGGCTGTCCCGCTACGCTCAGCTCAGGTAGTTACTTGGGGGCACGGCTACCTTAGAACATTTCTTATCATTCAATAGATATCATTGCCAACATGACTTCATTTCATCGCTAGTTTTATATGAACTCAATTAAATCAAACATAGCACTTGAATACCTTATCCTTAACCACTTCTTAATTCTATATTTAACACCACCTGTCAATACATACATGTCACTTGAAATTCACACAACATACCTTACAATTTCAAGTATTCAAGCAAACATTTCCAATTCATAATCATCTAGACTTCCATACTTTGTTTGGAACTATCATAACCATGACTTACCTGATTCACGCATAGTATTTACCCGATGCGAGCGTGTAGGGTGTCCACGAGCAACGGTTCTTTGATGAGCAACTTTATATATGATTTACACTTGATTAACATAATTTCATGTTTTTATCAAAATCCTAGGACTTAGGAATAAGAGGAAATTCTACAAAATCAGCCCCTATAATTGAGAATTTCTCAAATTTCTACAACTAATCGGGCATAGCTTCGGGGTAGCTAGATAACATATCACCGATTGAAACTCACAACCAAGGGTTAATACCAACCAACTAATTAGTATAACATCCAACTCTAGACATCCACTTAAAATCATCCTTAAAAGAGTAAGCAAAATTCCCAAATTCTTATCTCCAATTGAGTATAATTTCGGTGTAATCGGATACTCAAATTTCATAAGGATTTTTAATCATAGATAAAAACAGCTCCATAACAATCTTATTATTAAGAAAATCCATTAGATTTCCTAGAATCAACCTAAAATCAATCAACCCTAGCAAAATCCACAACCAAGAACTATAGATACAAATATAGTAAAAATACTTCATGTTAAGTGTAAAACCTTACCAAGTGAATGATCCTTGATGAAGCATAGATCTAATTAGAGCTTGAATTAGTCTAGGAAGGGCTTGGAATCACTTCAGAGAGATGGAGTCGAGCAGAGCTTCGTTTTGGGGGGAAAAGGGATTTTTCCTTTTTAAATACGATGTTGACCGACTTGGGAAAAAATTGCCCGGACTGGCGCCGGTCATGGCCCAACCGGCGCCGGTTTTCCTGCCTTTCCACCGCCTTAAGTTTCTGTTTTGGACCGGCGCTGGTTCGGGTCCAACCGGTGCCGTCTGGGATTCCCCGGGTGCCGAAAACGTCTCTTTTCGCCCTAAACCGACCACGATTGTTGTTGTTCCCATCCTTGATCCTCGGTGACATTTTAACTAGATTTTAAACACCTGAATAGTATCTAACATGACAACTAACTCAATATACCATTTCACCCGAAATAAAAATGATTATTACGGTGTCGTTTCGTTGCTAATCGGGTACCGTCGCCTGTCATGATAAAACATATTTCAAGTATATAATCCAAATACAATTATCACCAAGTTCATAATCACATTATATCCATATACTTCACATATATAGCATTCAAACCATAAGTCAAAACATGATCATATATAAAATTAATTAGCACATAAGAAGTAGATAAAAAGTACGGGCATTACACACCTAGAGAGAATAAATTTTATCTTTGAAGAAGATGAGCGAGCGACTATACTGAGTCAAAGGGATATCCAAGACGGGTACTAGTGGAGCGATGAATCTCGGGGTATGCACATTGTTAAAACTGGTTACAAGCGGTTAGCTAGGGAATCCACGGAGGAAAGCTGGTTAGGCTGGACAAAAATGTGAGGATTTTCATACAACCTAAGATGAAACATTTTTCCTGGCAGATTATGATGAATGTGCTACCAACGGCAGATATGTTGAGACGAAGAAGGGTGGATTTACTAGGGTATGTCGGTTGTGTAATGAGGAGGAGGAGACAACAACCCAACTTTTTAAAGATCGTAGAGTTGTGGCCGAGGTGTGGGCTAAAGGCGGGAGAGATTTCATGTGGCCAACAATTTCTATGTAGGAATGGGTGGAGATTTTATTTAGTTTTGTGGGTGAGGAGGACTTATGCATGTTCACAGCCCTCTTGAGGAGCATATGGAAGGAGCATAACGATGTAACGTAGAATAATCATGTTTTCAATGTTGCGCATGTGTTTAATGTTGGGGCAGCTGTTATGACAAAATGGAGTCTAGGTGGGTGAAACCAAGTCCGGGAGTGGTCAAGATCAATGTTGATGGAGTAAATCCACCCTCGTGTACACGAGGGGCAGCTATTATGACAAAATGGAGGCTAGGTGGGTGAAACCAAATCCGGGAGTGGTCAAGATCAAAAGTGACTTTAGTTGGCTGATAAGGCTGATAAGTCAAAAAACATGGTAACCAAACATGCTTTTATTCCATTATTCTAGTGAAAATGATTCTTCGCGTGAGATATGAAAATAATCATGTGTTGCATAATTTATGACAGTGTACATTTATTGTTGAGATAATGCATCATTTGAAGTGGTAAAAATAGTGCAATTCATTTACAAAAATACCACCTCATTTTGAGACACATTTGAGTGCCCGCCTCTATTTTAGATAATACACATTTCACAAATATAAAGCACCCGATTCATTTCATATACTATGTCACTAATTATATTATTATACCACATTATCATTTTTTATCCATGATATTAAACGTCCACAGATAATTAAACAAACTACTTGATATATGTGGTACATAAATTATCGACGAAGATTACCACATGCGCCAATACTGACCGGCCTGCCGCCTCACAGACACCTTTAAATAGGGGATACTATAGCCACTATAATTTTTTTTATCGTAAAACCCAATAATAATTATATTAAATCAGCATATTGTTCGCCACCTGACTTACAGTACAATCAGTAATAACATTATAACTACTATAGCGACAATAATTAAAACATTAAAATGTGAATACAAATACTCCGATGTGATAAATAATTAAAGGTATGTTGTATGTGTATAGTAGGCGGAGCTAGGGGGCCAACCTAAGTGTAAGCCCGCTCCATATTTATAAATAGACTTAATTTTTAATATAAGTATTTCCTTGTAAATATATTATCTGTAGCGGTCTAGTCTGGTCCATGATTTTGATCTTAGTGACCGCACTCCGGTGGTGGTTTGGGTGAGTTTATGCAATAGTCATAGACCTTGAACTGAGCCTGTTGAGTCCAATTCATGGCTTCCTTCTGTATATCTGTTAATCCGGATGGCACGTCCGATGCCTTGGCAACTTTGAAGCTTGAATACCTAGCCTGGAACGGTGCATAAGTATAATTCATCCTATATTTCCCATGCTCGGTTGCCCAGTTGGAAGCATCCCATATGGATGCATATGCTCTCATTTTCCTCTTAAGATATGGTACTTCATTAACCCTTGGGTAATACCTTATTGG